ACCGTCGGAAATTTGCCTGTTTTCTTGTAGTGAAATAATAATATATAGATGCTGTTCGGTTACAAAATCTCGATCAATCTATCTATCTCCTCCATGTTTGCCATTCGAAAACGATTGTTAATTATACCAAATTCTTGCAATATCGATTGCTCTATATTTATGTAGGTAAGCATATATATGTTATATATTAACTAAAGGCCAATTGTCACATAATGACTAGAATAGCTTAAATATTTATTTCTTTTCACCTGGAGGGATTTTAATTTCGATTACAAAATGAGTTGCTTAATAAAAGTGATAATATATATCAGTTGCTATGTCTTTTTTAACAAATAAATCATTGACGTGACAAAAAATATTTATATCATATGGTCGGGTCGGTTGTTCTCTATTACTGAAAATATTTTTCCTTTCAGAAACGAAATAATTATGATTAATACATGAAAACAATAGCATATCTTATTTTCTATGAGACTATGACCATATACATTCCACCGACATCAGATATTACATTGCTGTCGGACTTAATTATTTATTTTGCTAAAAACAAAAGAATACATTTTTTTCAATGGGAAATCTTAGACTTTAACATTTTCTATAAACATATTGTTGTAATTGTCAAATTATTTAAGAAATTATATAAGAAACAGAGAGAAAAGCGTGTAATTTTCGTATGCTTAATTAAATGCTTCATTTCTATTTCAGTCTGAACAAAATTTGTATTTCACAAGTTTTTTCTTATGCCTATGGCTATGCATTTTAGGAACCTATAATGAACATTTAGCTAGGTCACGAGAAAAGGAAAACCTCGAATGGTAGTTATAACTGTCAGATGATAAAACATTAACGATTTCTTAACGAGATATAAAACTAACAAAAGTATTCAAAATCAAGAAAAGAAACAATAAGTGAAGGTAGAGGTTTCTTTTTAATGTTTTGCTTGAAATAGAACAAACGCGTATTGTAAAGAAACCAATAATTTTGAAAATAACTAAAACGAAAACAAATCTTTTTTACTAGTAATATTTTGTTTTTATATAGTAACTAACGCTACATGATATGACACAAGGTCATACAATTTTTATAAAGAGATAAAAAGTTAAATATTTACAATTTTTTTTTTTGGTGTCAATTGTTTTTTCTTTAACGAAAATTTTTTTTGTTGATAAATAAAATTAACAGTTAGTATGCCCACGAAATTCGGTGTCGGTGGCTCATCAACTTACAAACCAGTGCGTGTGTGTAGTATATGTCCAAGCCAACGTGTGCATGGGATTTGTTTTTTAGTTAGCATCATCAGTGTTTGGATAAGTTCGACTAATTTTGGAGTGAGAAGATTCTTTGACATGATTTTCCTCAAACTCATAATTTAGGTAAAGTATCTAGTGCTAAGTTCGAAATCTTTACAATGATATGATTTGAAATGCGAATCGAATCCCCCACCACTATGCGTGAATTGGATTTGAGATCAAGGTTATAGAGTTTAGTAAATTATGTATTTAGTAATAAAAAAACAGATGTTTTGTATTATCAATCTCTAAAAAACCTTTGATTAACTGTCTTACTGTAGTGGAGTGATTGATTTGTTTTTTTTTTCCTAGCAACAATGATCCGATCATTCAAAAAAACTTTCTATTTTTATCTTCATTTATATAATAGTCATAAATCATGATTAGTTTCTCCCAAACATATGGTAGAAACAAGTGATGGCTGCAACAATCTAACAAAGCATATAGCTAGTGACTATAAAGGGAAGAAACGTTATAGCAATACAATCACTAAAATTAGCATGTCCTATTTGAAAACTAAAACTTGGTTATACAAACATCTTCTAGCTGAGCCAATTATCTCACTTCAGTCACTTGAATAGCTATTCAGTCGTGATTATGGAGGAGGGTCTTGTAAAGCTTGAATCCTAACATTTGAATCGTTCTCAAACATCACCTTTTTGAATCCGAGATTATCCAAACAAGACATGACCCATATCTAGAGTACTTGTTGTCTCCGCCGCATCAAAGCTAAGAGTACTACAGTACCTTTTTTTTCTTTTTGGTGGCACATCTTTAAAACTCGTTTCCTTACTAATGAAAAAAAAAATGGGCTTTAGACTAATTTTAATTTAATTGCCCAAAATAAATTGGGCCTTAAGAGGCCTTACAATCAGTTGAAGAGATAATGTAACC